GGGGGGGGGGGCGCAATATATAGCATTATTTCAAACGTTTTATCAGAGAGAGGGGTTCCTTATGCAGCCTAGGCTTCTCCAAACTCGGGGAGATCCTCCCGCCTCAGCCTCCCGATTGCGTGGATGGTTATAAGATTGGTATGTTCCACCACATCCAGTTTATGTGGTGCGGGGACTGAACCCAGGGCTCTGTGCCTGGTAGTTAACCACTTTACCAACCAAGCTACATCCCCAGTCCCTAACTTTTTCTTCAGTGCCAGAAGATGTAAGTTAATTTATTATACTGAATGCTGTCCTGTACAGAGAACGGTCTAATGTAGCCGAACTTTTGGTTTGGGATGAGCAAGTTTATTAAACACAGAGCAGGCACATTTGGAACACAGTGGTGGCGTCACCACTATGTTAGCCGCCATGTGGGTGTTGGGAACGGAACCCAGGTCCTCTGCACGAGCAGTCAGTGCACTTAACCACTGAGCCATCCCTCCAGCCCGAGGTTTTTTTGTTTTTGGTTTTTTTTAATATATTTTTTATTTTTGTGGGGTGTGCCTGCCACTGCACACGGGAGGTCAGAGGACAGCCTGCAGGACTTGGTTCTCTTCCACTATGTGGGTCCCAGGAATTGAACTCAGGTCATCCTAAGGTTTAGTGGCAAGTGCCTTTACCTGCTCAGCCATCTTGCCACCCTTACAACCCAGTTTCTTAATTGATCAAGGCAAAAGACATTTCACTAGAGATACAGATGTCAAAAAGATGCTACATTATGTGTTCCAAAGTTCCTGAAACCGTTCAAAGATGCAACAGAAGAGTCAGGCATGGTGTGGCACACCTTTAGTCCCAGCACTCAGGAGGCAGAGGCAGGAGAGGATCTCTGTGAGTTCAAGGCCAGCCTGGTCTACATAGCGAGTTCCAGGACAGCTGGTTCCAGGACCCCCCACAAAAAAAACCAAAAGGAGAGGAAAGGGGAAGGGGAAAGGGAAGTGTAATGGCCCCAAATGGAGCCCCCCAAATTGTAATAGCCAAAGTAACTTCATTTTGTATAAAGTAGCCACTTTAAACTTCAAAAGCTAGAAAAAGAGCCAGCTTCAAAGTTAAGCGCCTGAACTTAGTTGCTTCTCCGTAGAAGAGTGCTTTCTTTGGAGTAGCTGACCTTGGGTTTCCCAGACAGTGAAGCTGCCCTTAATCAGAGTGCCTTACTGCCAAGGTCTCTACACCTCGTTAAGAGAAGAACTAATACAAGCTTGCTTTGGCTTCTGTGCTTTGCTTATCTGCTAACCTGGGTGTCTTGACCATATTCAGGGCCACCTGGCCTTTCGTGTATGAAGAAATTCCTATGGTATTTGTGGTTTCACCTGTGGGGGCGTGTCCAGAGAAAACAGACTTCCTGAGACAGTGCCTAGGGAGGAAGATCCGCCTTCAATGTGGGCGGCACCTTCCATCTGCCAGCACCGTTAAAAAGAAGTCAGCCGGGCAGGAAAGCTGCTTGGGTTGTTGATTTTGCGGCGCTATCTTCTTAGACACCAAACTTTCCAGCCTTGGGCCCCACAGCATCTAAAGAGCTTCCAGGCCTTCAGCAACAGATTGCAAATTGGATTTGGGGGAAGAGCCTTGGATTGAGCGGCTTCCAGGTTCTGTGCCTCTCCCCGGTGCCCAGGGCTGTTGTTGGACTACCCAGGCCCAGTCTCCTAAGTCAATTTAACACACCTTTTATAATTCATATCCATACATTCTGTCGGCTCTGTTCCTCTAGAGAACCATGGGCTTTGTAAGGTCTCAGGCTTTTTGTTTTCGTTTTTTTTTCCTAACCAGGAGTGGTTCTGAAGAAACAGTCTAAGGATGAGTTTCCTTAGCGCACGTGGTGGTTTCTGGAGCCGGCTCTTCAACTGGACTAAGCTTGAAGATGTTGAAGACTGTCGGGATTGGGCAGACAACACTGACAGCCCTTGGCGAGAGCTGCTTAAAGAAATACTCGAATACAGTTGATCCCTCCGACTCATCGATTCTAAGTGACTGTGTGTATGATAGTTTTGAACATTTCTGGAAAACTAGGGACTTTGATGCTGTTGGCAGGTTGCTGCTGGCATCTCTGAATAAAGTAACAAAGGAAAAGAATGAGCTCAGAGAGATTTCTCAGCTCCAGATGCACATAAACAGTCTGAAGGTTTCTAAGTGTGTTCTGGGAGAGACTCTTCTCTCCTGCAGCCACAGAACTGAAGTTATGGAAAACCAGACATCATGAGGCTGGTTGATCTACAACGCAAGTGTAAGTCTCTGCCTTCCCATAAGGTGTCCACTGATAAAGTGAGGGCACTGATTGGTAAGGAATGGGATCCTGTAACCTGGGATGGAGATGTGTGGGAGGAGCCTGATGATGCTGCTCAAGGGCCTGAGGAAGCAGCCTCACCCTCTACAGTGTTGACTTCTCCACCTTTGCCTGAGGGAACTGACCCTGCATTGTTTGTGGAAAGGGCAATGACCTTCCCTAAAGGACCTGCCAAGCCAGACCAAGCTGAGGTCTCTCAGAACCAATCCTCACAACCCTTAGTTACTGCAGGACCTGTAAGGGAACCCAAGGCTCAGAATGCCCCTGTAGGAAAGATCTGCTGCTCTCCTAGTAATCTCAAGATGCTTTCTCAGTTCTGCCATCAGAAGAGGGAAGAACACGCCATTGACTGGATTTTAAGGGTGCGGGATGACGGTGGAAACCTCATAACACTGGATCAGGCAGAATTTACCTCTCTGGATCCATTGACCTATAATTCTCAGTTTAATATTGGAACTTGCACAGTCTAACAAGGTACCAAGAGTTTGTTTGATTGGTTAGCTGAATTATGGGTCCAAAGATGGCCTACTATGGATAAGCTGGAGCTTCCCTATAGACCTTGGTCTGAAATTAATGAAGGGATTCAAAGGCTTAGGAGAATTGGAGTGGTAGAGTGGATTTATTTAAGAGCTACTTTTCCACAGTGGGACTGTCCAGAAGATGTGCCCCTCACTAGAACTGCAAGGAATAGATTCATGAGGGAAACAGCAGGGGCCTTAAAGAGCTTTGTTCTTACTGTTCTCTATAAACCAGACCTGACATTTGGAGCCGCTGCTGCTCAACTGCCTGACTTAAAAGAAATGTGTGTAATTGTACAACAGGTTACGCAGGCCAAATATCGGTGATGTCTTTGTTCTTACTGTTCTCTATAAACCAGACCTGACATTTGGAGCCGCTGCTACTCAACTGCCTGACTTAAAAGAAATGGGTGTAATTGTACAACAGGTTGCACAGGCCAAATATCGGTGATGATGGTTTGATTCCTGTGGACCTGTGGTTCAGGCTAATTATTAAGTGTTTCCAGAAGTGAGATAGGAATCATACCTTAAATGGCTACCTTGAATCACAGCCCAACACTACTTTAGGGACTCAGAACCCCTTGAATGAAGTAAAGCAGGTCACCTTGAGGAAAGATTTTGCTAATGTTTCTCCCATCCTTCCTCAAAGGGACCTTTTACCTGGGTAACTGAACATTGGGGCAAAGGGAATAATCAGGCCTTGTTGGGGAGGTGGGTGGAGCTAGAGCATATACTGCTCTTGCAGAGGACCCAAGTTCAGTTCCTAACCCCCACATTGAGTGGCTCACAACCACCCAACTCCAACTAAAGAGGGCCTAACACCGCTGGTACCCAAACTCATGCAAACACATGTGCAAACA